TTTACACGACTTATTTTTAACTCCAACGAACATACTCGTTTTTCAACGACATCTCCCAAAGTGACATTTGCAAATAATTTTTTCGTAAACTCGAATATTTTCGAATGATCCTCGAATCGAATTTTTATTCCACGTAGGAACAATCGCTGCAGGAATGCAACATTTCCCAAAATCCCAATGGTCCTTTTTCAAAAGAAAAAAAAAAAAAAAAAGAGAGAGAGAGAACCGAGCAAACATATCCAGTTGTTGGTTTAATTGCTCGGGCACACAATGCGTTTATCTCAACTGTGTGCCCGATCAGTGTCTCGACTCTCGAGCATCAGGTAACCAATACCTCGTCCCTGCGTCTGATCCAAACCGGGTACATTCTACTTAGCCAAAGCAAAGTCCCAGCGATGTAACACCATGTCTCTCCCCGATCCGTGACCCTACACAAAGGCTCTAACACGCTAATGCTACACGCTAGACTTCTACCTGTTCCACCCTTCGCCACATAATACGTCCCACTTCCCTCCTCCCTCCTGCTTCCCTCGAAGCTAGAACCACGACCGAAAGACGTCACCGGTATCATCCCCACATACATAAAACGCAATAATTTCAACCTCCCCATCTACACGCGCAAATAGATACAGGCGTACACGTGTGTACGTGCCATCCGTGACACACGAGACCTACATACTTCCATGCCATAACGCGCAAAGGCACCAGGCTTTGGTACACGATTACACTCTCGGGACAACACCGAGTGAAAAAGACCATCACCGACGAGGTGCCTGTAGCCGTGTGCGAGGCGGTTTTGCACAGAGAAAAGGACAGGGAGAGAGAGAGAGAGAGAGAGAGAGAGAGAGAGAGAGAGAGAGAGAGAGAGAGAGAGAGAGAGAGAGAGAGAGTGGTTCCACGGTGTGGAGGTACCGGGGCTGGCGCACCAGTTTCCGCGTTCCAGCGGCGCACAAGCGCACACACGGCCACACGGACGATCGCGAATGATACACGCCCACACGTACACGTCCGGCACGAACACGAAGGAATCGCGGCCGTGTTTCGCGAACGCCGTTTCATCGGCCAGCCTGGCATCTCTCAGTAAGCTCGGAGCTTTCGACCGGTTCGGTCCAGTTCGGCCCGACCTCCTCGCTCGGCCATCCTTCCTCTATACTATTGTGCGTCTCTCCGCCTGTGCTTTTCCAGTCGATCGCGTCGTGTACTATCGACGACATGTGCGTGGCCAGGCCGTATCGCGGTCGATAAGAGCGGCGGTGGAGAGAGGAGGCGGTGGAGAGAGGAGGAGGTGGAGGAATAGAAAGAAGTCCGTGTGATTCATCGCTATGCGAAAAACCGAGGCAACGATGGAGAGTCGTAGGGGTGGGTGATCACACTACTCGCTACTAGCGTGGCGACTCTGTTCGATAGCTTTCGTTGCGTTTAGATCTTTTCTCGCGGACGTGTGCGTGTGCGTGTGTGTTTGTGTGTGTATATATATATATATATATATATATATATAGTCATCGTCGCGAGACGTTGAAGAAGAGACGACTGAACTTTGGTTCTCCAGTTCCAGTTTTTAATCGTCCGGCGTATTTATAGGTGACACGGCGCGCTTTCGATTACGAAAGCCGCATCGGGAAATTGAGCGAATGAATGTATTATCGATTTACCGGGCGAGATAAATGATACCGGCGACCTCCGCTGACTCGGACTCGATCGTTAACCACTTGGCCGGCCCAACAAACGTTTAAACTCCTAAGATCGTCGTTTCGGCACTTGTTCACTGTGACGGGATTTTTAATTAATCTCGGTCGCAGATGGTTGGAACGACTGATAAATGAAACGAATCTATCGATTAACCAACGTGAAACGCTGTTTCTGTGAAACGAAGCTTGCCAACTGAGTGAAAAAGTTATTTCGAAAAGGATCAACGAGGTTAGATTTGCAGCGTGGACGAAACAGAGTCGACGGCGGAGGATAGGATCATGAGGAACAGAACGAGCAGCGTGCACGGTGCAACGAGGACTGTCTCGAGATCGATTCGAAGACTGTGGGATCAGCATGATTACTATAACGGAAGGCGGATAGCGGCGTGAAAGCCTGTCGTGCGAATCTGTTCACGCTTGATTTCCAATACGCCTTTAGTTAAAAACCGAGCGTCGAATCGAGTTGATCGACGTTTGATTAAAACCACTTGGTTGTCATTAAGCTTGAAACGGTAGCTGGAAATGTATCTGACTCGTGAGAGCAGAATATAAATTAGCATCTCGAAATACCAATGTTGTTTGGCTGTATTCCACTTGGAAATTTCTGTTGATAAAAGTGGAGATTTGAAAAAGTTTGAGTATGTTTGAAGTGGTCTAGAGAGTCAAGTTACGAATTTGACAAACGAATGTTTGATTAGTTTAAGTTTGAACTGATATTTTCTCCTTTGTATCAGCTGGAAGGATCTCACGCGGTTTGGAAATGTATCAGGGAAATAAGTCTGACTTGTGAACTAAACGAGAGGAAAGTAGAATGTAACCTAGAGTTTGAGAGTGCTAGCGTTAATCAAAGTTTGTATATAATTTCTGTTGGAAATTTCTCTAGATACGTTGGAGATTTTTCAGATGTTTGATCATGTATGAAGTGGTCTAGGAACGTGTCGCGAGATCAAGAAGGAAAGGAGCTACGATTCGAAAACGAATATCGATTAATTAGTTTGAAAACTGATGCTCTCTTCTTTGTACAAGCTTGGAAACAAAAGTTGAAAGATCTCGCGCAGTTTGGAGATGTATGAGAACATTTGGAGAGGCAAATAAGTCTGATTTGTAAACTAAACGAGGGAAAAGTAGAATATAACCTAGGATTTGAAAATACTAGTGTTGGTCAAAGTTTGACTATGTATAACTTCTGCTGTAGATACGTTAAATGTGGAGATTTTCAGAAGTTTGAGTATGCATGAAGCGGTCTAGGAACGTCGTGTCGTGAGATTAAAAAGGATTTGAAAAGGAACGATCAATGCTTAAGTCTGACACACATTCTTCTTTATATAAGCTTGGAAACGAAAGTTGAAAGATCTCACGCAGTTTGAAGACGTATGAGAACATTTGGGGAGGCAAAATAAATCTCTCAACCAAACGAGAGAGAAGTAAAATTTGCGAGTGCTAGTGTCAGTCAAAGCTTGAGATTCCTGCAGATACGTCAAGAGAGAAGAGTCTGAGAAGTTTAGAAATCACGAGAGAAAGAATATTAACGAGTAGAATGCTCTCTGCTACAAGTTTATGAATCAGCAAGACATTGAAGCGTCCACAAGATTTTCTACGGATCTATCTCAGAAAAAAAAAAAAAGAAGAAAGAGAAGAAAGTAAGCTGGATTCGTAATTTGTTCAAGCTACATCTCTCTTTAGTTAGTTGGTTTGTCCAAAAATGTGAAATGAACAAAACGCCGGGTAAAACTGAAAGAAACCGTGTATATCGACTGAACTGAAGTCTAATTAAAAAGTATCGAGCCAAGCTGCTGTTTACACCCGTTTACAACCTCGGGGTAGGAAGATTGAAAGATTCGAGATAGTTTGTACGTGTAATGCGAAACCATAAGCTCGGTTTACGATTTGTTGAGCAACGAGAGCTCGAGAACGAGTGTCAATCAACGTCTGACTGGACACGGTACTCTCTACTTACGTAAATAGTAGAAAGTTTGAACAGCCACGAGGATTGGTTAATGCGCCGTTACGAAACCGAGGGAAGACGCGAGTAAACTCGCTCTTCGATTCGCTGCGAGACAGCGTTTTCTTAAAAGAAAAAAGAAGAAACGATAGCTTCTTGAAAGCTGCGTGTTCGAAACGACGTAAAGTTTGGAGATAATTTTGGAGTATCTTCATTTCAACTACAACTTGAAAAGTTCTATTTATATTCGTTGTTCACATCTATCTGTCAATCAACGTTTAACCGAAGAACTTGAGCATTCCTCAGAAATTCGAAACAGATCTTAATAGATGCTTGAAAATAGAGGCTAATAAAGTTAATTTCCCATTTATTCAACAAAAGATCGAGTTTCGATCAAAGTCTGAGAAGACTGCGTGAAGGTATTATATTCGCTAAATGTTTGTTTTAAATAATAAACGTTCGTAACCAAAGTGTAAACTTGTTGCGAGAAAGCTTCGTGTCGAATTTCCCCGAAGCTACGAGCATCGATCGTTTGAGCCATCGATGCAAAATCGAGTCGTCTGGCTAAATATTTGCACGAGTTTCGAGGGAAAAAGAAACATTCGCAGCAACGTATTGCAAAGCCAAGGAACGAAGCTTCGTTTCCCAGTTTCTCCGATTTCAAACCTGATCATCAATCAACGTCCGACTAAAAACGCTCCGCTCCGCAATTCGGGACGAAGCTTAAAAAGGAAACCGGCTCGAGAACGCGGGGCGATCCGAGAGCCAAGGAGGACGTGGAAAGTAAATTTCACAGGAGAAAAGAAAGAACGAAAGAAAGAACGGGAATGGGAGCTACGCTTTTTTTTTTTTTGCTGAATTTCGTTCGTCGCTCGGCGGGATCTCAATGGCTTGAATATTCACGAGGAAACACTTTTCGTGGATAAAAACCTCGAGGAACGATCCTATTTGCGATCGGAGCCGGCCGACTGGAAACGGGAAGACGATTCAAATATCTCGACTATTCCAGGGTAAAGGGCAAATCTTTCCCATTGGAAAATACAGATCAATCGTGGTCTAATTAACCTTAGAGGTGCTGCGAATTTTTCAAACAGAAACTTCCACGCCTTCCAATGCTTTAAGAAAGTTTCACTTAACTTGAAGCTAAAGACGAGAGTGAAGACTCGCAGCAAAATTAAAAATCACGTTTATCAAGTTTAATGAAATGTCGTGCCACGTTTGTCGCTAAAATGTCAAATCACTAAAATTCTATGACGAGACTCGAATCTGGCAAGTTTCGCAGTGACAACGATGACAAAAATGAGAATCAACGAATGTTCACGGATCGACGAAACGTCCGATTGAAGAGTGACTTGTTCCACTTTGGATCGTCGTTCGATCGAGTGAATGTCAAGAGGAGGGAAAGGGGGGAAGAGGAGGAAGAAGGGGAGAGACACGTTAACTTTGGAAGATCGTTCCGCGATGGTTCTTTGCCAAGTTGTTATTAAGGATCGAAGAGGACGGCCGGATGCACAAACGATTAACTCTCGGCCGAGTGCGGATTCACGGATGCAGGGAAAAAACCGACGGTGCGCAGTTAAAGGACGTTGTTGAAGAGGATGAACTGTCAGAGAAGGCGTCAGCGTGGCCTGGTAGCTCGTCGATCTCCTCCACAGTGACAATAATAATAAACGCTGTCGCGATTCAACGCGACAAAAAAGTCAACAGTTCGACGATCGAGTTCCACGAGCGAGATTTATTAAAAGTTATTGCAATTAAACAGAGGGACACTCCTCGACGAAAAATCTGTCTGCAAATGTTACGTAAGAGAGATGAGGATAGAATCTACGTTTTGGGAAAGTTTCATCAGGAGGATCTCAGAGGGGAATTGTTGATCATGCGCGGGTAAGTTTTGCAATCGCAGAAAAAAGTTGTTTTTTTTTCTTTTTTTTTTTTTTTTTTCTTTAAGAGTTAAGGACACGAGAGGCTTGGAAAAAGGAGGAATTTGAAATAATTACCAGGTATTCAATTTCACACGGTGTGAATATTTCTGTTGACTTAATTCAAATTTCTTTCCCAAGTTTTTTGGTCTCTGTATTAGAGAGAGTTTTGAAACGTTTAGTGTCGAGGGCTTTAATTATTAAATATCAGCGTGATTCCGAAGTCGTTTGGTTTCTGAATTATTTATCGTTTAATCTGTCGTTAAAATATTCCTTGAATCGAATTTCACTCTCTTTTTCAAGAAACTCTTTTTAGGTTTAAGAAAACGTTCGTGTGACGCATTCGTCGAATTCCTCAAAGTATCATTGTGTTACGTAGATATCGTGAGATTACAGATAATTTACGTTAGATTATGAAAATTTCACCCTCTGATAAATATTACTAATGAAATATCGAATCAGATTTCAAAATCAAAAATCAAAAATTTCCAAAGTAAAATTTCGAGTAATTCGAAATCGAAGTTGTTATGGTTCCTGTTGTCAGTTAGGGGTTAATACGAGTGGAAATTTTCGGACGTTGTACAAAATACAATCTCCCAGCCCTTCAAAGTCAATCTCCGTTCAATAATAATTAAATTCTAATATTAAAAATATTAAATTACAATATTATAATAATAATATAATATAATATGATATATATTATAATAATATTGTAATAGTATTATAGTAATATTGTAATATTATAATAGTATTGTATTAAATAATATTAAACTTCAATGATCTTAAATTATAATAATATTATAATAATAATATAATATAATATATATTATAATAATATTGTAATATTAAATAATGTTAAACGGTCTTAAATTATAATAATATTATAATAGTAATATAATATAACACAATATATATTATAATAATATTGTAATATTAAATAATATTAAACTTCAACGGTCTTAAATTATAATAGTAATATAATATAACATAATATATATTGTAATATTAAATAATATTAAACTTCAACGATCTTAAATTATAATAATATTATAATAATAATATAATATAACATAATGTATATTATAATAATATTGTAATATTAAATAATATTAAACTTCAACGATCTTAAATTATAATATTATTATAATAGTAATATAATATAACATAATGTATATTATAATAATATTGTAATATTAAATAATATTAAACTTCAACAATCTTAAATTATAATAATATTATAATAGTAATATAATATAACATAATGTATATTGTAATAATATTGTAATATTAAATAATATTAAACTTCAACGATCTTAAATTATAATAATATCATAATAGTAATATAATATAACATAACGTATATTATAATAATATTGTAATATTAAATAATATTAAACTTCAACGATCTTAAATTATAATAATATTATAATAGTAAAATAATATTGTAATATTAAATAATATTAAACTTCAACGATCTTAAATTATAATAATATTATAATAGTAATATAATATAACATAATGTATATTATAATAATATTGTAATATTAAACTTCAACGATCTTAAATTATAATAATATTATAATAGTAATAAAATTATAATAATATTATTATAATAATATAATATAATATAATATAATAAAATTGCAATAATATCGTAATATTAAATAACATTAAATTTCTAAACTAATTACATCTAAATCCACGCATCTAAATCATCCCTCGAAACTATTATTAAATGAAATTATTACTATTCAAATGAGAATTATTATCCAGAGTGTAAGTTATCGGCACGCGACGGGCGTCGTCCTTGAGGGATTAAAGGATTAAGATGAAGAAAAGGCGCAAATAGAGAGAAATGTCGGATTATTTCACCGTTGTTTTCGCGAGTGTTTCGATCGGTGGTAGGGGACAGGCTAATTGGAAAAAGTAGACGTCAATTTAACGGATGGCCGCAGTCGTTCTTCGGCGCAGCCGGTTATTTTCGGGTGAGCGTAACACAGGCACGGCCCGTTGAATATCAAATCGCGCAATTTCATAATTCAGCGATTAGACGTGGATTTCCCATGAGAGCCGTTTCATTCGATCCTCGAAGGGGGTGGGAGGGAGTGGGGGGTGGAACGAGCTCCCAAGTTACACAAGACGCGCTCGCGATGAAAGATTGCACGACGGGGAGGAAAAACAATTCAGAAGGCCCCACTGTTGGAAAAAAAAATAAGTATCGCCGCGAAGGCAATGCTTGACAACAAACACCGCTTATTCGATTTTGCTTACGCGATAAATAAAAGAGTTATTGAAGTATATCGAAAATTCCAAATACGGTTGAAAATTCCAAAAACTTCACGTACGGAATTCGACGTGTAAAAATGCTATAATATGTTATAGCACGTGTAAACAATGAAATTTATATAAATTGTGTGAATTTATAATTGGATTGAAATTAAAATTATATAAAAAAGAGAAGATATAATAAAGCGTCACACGCTATAACTAATCAAGTTACACGCTTACAATTTTTTAACATTTTAGAGCATAAAAATGTATATATTTCTTTCTAGTGAATAATTGTAGCGCTGCAGTATGATATTGTACACAGTTTGCAATGCAACTGCGTGCAAATACGTGCAACTCTGTCTAATCGTGAAAATTCTAAATAGATAGTGAAACTTTTGTCTCTAGACTCGATGTTACATTGCAAAAACGATGAAAAATGAGAGAAATATCTGCGCGAAATTCTTACTCTCTCTCTCTCTCTCTCTCTCTCTCTCTCTCTCTCTCTCTCTCTCTCTCAGTTTCGAGGAAACCAAAATTCACCCTAAAAAAGAAAAATAAATAAATTCAAGAACGAAACGCATTTGAAAACATCTCGTCGCGTCCAAAGGGCAATCACGTAAATAGTCTTGATTATTATTTATTATATTTGTAATAATAAAATTTAATAAATCTATAATTGGAATTTATAATGATCAATTTTATATTCATATTTTATTACTAATATAATTTATTTAAATTAGGATAAGATTAACTCAACTTTCATTGCAATTATTATAATTTAATTTTAATTAAAAAATTTTTATTAAATGGCATTTAATTAATGTAAATTAACCTCATTTATTAAAATATAAATATTAATAAATTATAAATACATTTTTAATAATAAATTATATATATATAAATATAAGTAAATTAAATTAATAACAAATATAATAAAAATCGAATTAATTTTATTCTAATCTAAATAAATTATATTAGCAATAAAATATGAATGTAAAATTGATCATTGTAAATTCAACTTATAGGTTTATTAAATTTTATTATCATAAACGTAATAAATAATAATCAAATAACTATTAATAATAATAGTAATCATAATAGTAATAATAGTAAATAATAATCAAATAACTAGTAAATAATAATAGTAATCATAATAGTAATAATAGTAAATAATAATCAAATAACTATTAATAATAATAGTAATCATAATAGTAATAACAGTAAATAATAATAGTAATCATAATAGTAATAATAGTAAATAATAATCAAATAACTATTAATAATAACAGTAATCATAGTAAATAATAATAGTAATCATAATAGTAATAATAGTAAATAATAATCAAATAAGCAGTAAATAATAATAGTAATCATAATAGTAATAATAGTAAATAATAATCAAATAAGCAGTAAATAATAATAGTAATCGTAATAGTAATAATAGTAAATAATAATCAAACAACTATTAATAATAATAGTAATCATAGTAAATAATAATAGTAATCATAATAGTAATAATAGTAAATAATAATCAAATAACCAGTAAATAATAATAGTAATCGTAATAGTAGTAATAGTAAATAATAATCAAATAACTATTAATAATCATAGTAATCGCGACTATTTACCTGTGTTACTTTTAATCGTCCGTCTCCCGTGAATTTCATAAGTTTCATGAATACGGAATACGGGGGCGGAATACAAAGTGCAACGGTGAATTCTATTATTAAGAGCAGAGAGAGAGAGAGAGAGAGAGAGAGAGAGAGAGAGAGAGAGAGAGAGAGAGAGAGAAATACACAGTCTGCGACTAGGAATAATTGGTTTTCAGGCTCGGTATGTCTGAGACTTGGCGACGTGGCCCGGAGAGCCCGTAAAGTTTAACAAAGCGAAAGGGTTACAATGCGAAGTGTCCTCTCACCTCGTTCTCCCGAGGGGCCCGCGTGTTAAAGCCTTGCCGGCGTAGCTGCCGGAGACCATCGTGCGCTCAATGCTAATTAATTCAGGCGTAAGATGATATGGAGTCTGAAGACGAAGTGGACGAAGAGCTGCCGGAGGTGAAACGCACACAGGTACGATAATCCCTCTAGAAAACGTGCAGGAAAACAGAAAAAAATGAAAAACACAAAAAAGAAATGAAGACGAAACGAGAGAAAGTGAAGGCGGATGGAATGGACACGGAGATCTAAATTATTATTCGCGTTTGTTAAATACAATGAGTGAAAGCCGCGCAAATATCGTTACGGAAAGTGTGAATGTTGTTTCATCGGTTTTGAATGTTGTGTCTGTTGTAACGAAACATTTTGGAAATTTCGCGAGACAATTCGAAACCGATCAGATTTGTCAGAAAAGAACTAACGTGCAGCGTTATATTACATAGTACGTTGTGCTGTGTTAAATATCTTGCAGTTTCCTCTATTACAAATTTATGTATTTACATTGCAATTTTATATATTTACGTAAATTTTCAAATTTTGTTACCAACGTAATCCGTGATACACGGAGACCGCCAATGAAATTTCAAAATATTATCGTACAACAATACACACGTATACATTTACCGAAAAGGCTTATTAATTATCTGCAGTTTCTGTCCATTTGTTATATTCAGTCTACATGTTCTAACAAACTCGGTGTTCAGTGTTTTACACTGTTATACAGATACTATGCTTTAAGCTTACTAAGCAGCTGTAGAAATCCAGCGATAGAGAAAGAACTCCAAGTACAATTCAGTATGTACATACTGAAATAATAAAAAGGAAGGAAAAGGAGTCGAGAAAACATAGCGCACGGATATTTAAACGAGAAGAAAAAAAAAAAAAAAGTGCAGATAATTAATCGACGAATCGTATAATTAATCTCTCGATCGTGAAAATTATTAGAAAGAAGCGGGACGATTAAATTACATGCTGGACGAGAGAAATAATTAACGATTAAACGTGCAATTTTGTAATTTGAATTACATTACAAATCGAAAGTCACGAAGCTACGTGAAATCGAATGGCAGGTAAATCGGAATGACAACGTAGAGGGGTTCGAGACAATGAAAATTTCAACGAAACCAATGTCGTCGAAGACGGCCGAGCGAAGCGAGTGCAACCTGGTGCGCTCGCCGAATCCCGAAGAACCGGAGCCGGCTGTCCCGTGGAAGGACCCTGGCAAAGCAAAGACGCAGGAAGAATCAAAATTACCTATAAGTACCATCATCAAGACTGACGCGAAAGACAGTGAGATTGTTTTGAAGGACAGACTATGCAGAAGCAAGAGGATCACCTGCCAGGACACGATACACGAGTACGACGAGGACGATGGCCTCACTATGGAAAAAGTTGGCAGGTAAATAGAGGATAGAGTAATGTGAGCCGTTTATTTCAGAAAGTGGCTCCCGAGTCCATTTTCCAAAAAAAAAAAAAAAAAAGAAAAGAATCAAGCTGGCTGTTTTAATATTATCGTCAAATATTACGTTTAATATATTATATTTACATTGATCACATTTACGAATAATATATTAATATATTATATTTACATTGATCACATTTACAAATAATATATTAATATAAATATTAATATAAATATTAATATTAATATTAACATTAATATAAATATTGACATTTAATATTATTTACATTATTTAGATTGTCTTTCCATTTTTAAGCAAATTGTAACTAATATACTTGAAATCACTGAGATTTTGTACACAAGAAAATTAGCTAATGGAATGACGAAGATTTTTATTTTGAAAATGGCTCGAGTCCCATTTTAAGAGTGTAAAAGTGAAACGAAGTGTGTTGTGCGACAAAATTTTATGAGACAAGAGCTATATTTTGTTTGTTATTAAAGTAACAGCGTTCGATTAGCTCAGTGACTTTCTTTAAATGATACTAATTCTTTAAATGATAAGTTAGATATAGAGGACTTTCATCTCGATTAAACGGCTCATATATTTTGTTCTTACTACGGCTTGTTACTGCTAACTTTTTTTCGAATTTATTGTTCAAAAATGTGTAGACTGAAGTATGAAGCTACAGAGAGGGAACGAGTAGATATTTTTAACTGTATTTTCTTACATCAATGTCACTTTGTAGCTAAAGTTATAAATATCTTAATCTGATACAGTTGAAGATGAAAAACACTATTGATAGATTGGCAAAGTAAATTTGTAAATAGAAATTATTAACAATATAATATATTATCAAAATTATAATATATATAATATTAATATATATAATGTATATAATATAATATATAATATTATATTAATATATTATCAAAATTATAATATATATAATAGTTATATATATAATTTGTATAATATAATATATAATATTATATTAATATATAATAATATATAATAATATATATAATATAATATTAATATATATAATATATATAATATATAATAATATATATAATATTAATATTTTTATTATTATCGAAATTATTAATAATATAATATTGTTAAGAAGCGATATTTCACTACCTCCGATATATTAATATTGCAACAAACGACAATTTGAAGAACACATGAGAGAACGCACAAATTAAACAAAAAGAAGTAATTTCGATGTACTTCCGTTGAAGAATATTAATATAATACAGTTGGTACAACTATAAATGAAATTATCATTTTAACAGGAACGAAAAGATTCAACCCCAAGCAAACAATTACAAATTACACTTGTACACACATTTCCCTTGTCTGATCGTCCGATATTTTCTTTCACTCGGAAACGTTTCTGCAACTTTCAAAAAATCAACGATCAATGAGATGAATTAATCAATTTCTCTCGGCAAGTTGATCAACGAAACTATAACTTGCTATATTGTATATCGGGAATTGACGCAGTGATCGGTAATCGAGCGACGATATTTTTCGATAAAGATACCTCGAAGCGCATCCGGACGCAGCGGAGGCCTGGTTTCGCGAGAACGCGAGCCCCGAGCTTCGTCAACGAATTCAAGGCACGGCCGTGGCTCAGGCCAAGTCAACGTCGAAGAACGTGCACCAAGAGGAGAGCCTTCTGAGCCGAAGCAAACGGAACAGCGTCACCTCTGACCTGTTCCAGAGTTGGCTGGCCTCCAGTTCGCCGGCGAAGCGCAGTAAAAGCCCCAGCAGGTAAATCAACATCTATTTTTCAAAATAGCAAAAATGTTTAAAATCGAAGTTTGACTTGATACGAAAGAAAAGTTCATTTAGTTCAAGTTAAGCTTCACTTCATTGGAATTCGAAATTGATTCGAATCTCGTGTATATTAGTTAGTTGCATTTCAATTGTCGTGTCAATAATTACAGTTCTTGGACTAAGAATGGGTATTAACCTCTTGCGCTGGAATGACGTCGAGAGTTTTTTGTCCCAAATATATTTAAATGTAATATATTAATATTATATTATAATATATTATATTAATATTAATATTATAGTATATTATAGTAAATTATATTAATATTAATATTATAGTATATTGTAGTATATTATATTAACGTTAATATTATATTATATTATATTATATTATATTATATTATATTATATTATATTATATTAATATTATAGCATATTATATTAACGTTCATATTATATTATATTATATTATATTATATTAATATTATAGCATATTATATTAACGTTCATATTATATTATATTATATTATATTAATGTTAATATTATAGCATATTATATTAACGTTAATATTATATTATAGTATATAATATTAACGTTAATATTAGAGCATATTATAGTATATTAATATTAATATTATAGAATATTATGTTAACGTTAATAGTATATTATATTATATTAATATTATAGTATATTATATTAACGTTAATATTATATTACATTATATTATATTAATATTAACATAATAGCATATTATATTAACGCTAATCTTATATTATATTATATTATATTAATATTAATATAATAGCATATTATATTAACGCTAATATTATATTAATATTATAGCATATTATATTAACGTTAATATTATATTATATTATACTAATATTATAGCATATTATATTAACGTTAATATTATATTATATTATATTATATTATATTATATTATATTAATATTAATATAATAGTATACGTTAATATTATAGCATATTATATAATATTAATATTAATTAATATTATAGCATATTATATTAACGTTAATATTATATTATCTTATCTTATATTAATATTAATCTTATAGCATATTATATTAACGTTAATATTATATTATATTATATTAATATTAATATTATAGCATATTATGTTAAGGTTAATATTAATATGCTATTAATATGCTATTATAATATAAATTATATTGTATTAATATTAATATTATATTATATTATATTACAAATGTAATATATTTAAATGTAACCCAGGCAAAACAAATTAATAAGTTTATCACTTCTTAATAATTTCTATCCAGCATTGATATCGACGAGTTTCGACGGAAATAGAAACGAATTATTGTATACGGCGAACCAGTTGCCAGCGCGAGGGGAAATTTTGATAAATTTAAAGAAAAAAAAAAAAAAGGGAGAAATGAATTTCGAATTCAACCCACCTTTCACATAAACTCAGGAGTTACAGCTCGTTGATGGGACGAAGAGAGGAGCTCAACAGGTTGGACGAAAGTGATTTGTTCATGGAGTTGATCAGGGATGTGGCGAACGAGCTGGATATCAACGTTCTTTGCCATAAGATCCTGGTGAACGTCGGCCTGCTCACGCATGCCGATCGTGGGAGCCTCTTCCTGGCCAAGGGACCTCTGGAGGATAGATATCTGGTTGCAAAATTGTTCGACGTGACGCAGGACACTGAGTTGGAGGAGGCTGTTCAGAGGGCCAAGAACGAAGAGATTAAGATCCCCTTTGGAGTTGGGATCGCTGGCTACGTGGCTCAAACTAAGGAGATCATCAACATCAAGGACGCTTACAAGGTTCGAGCGAGAAAGTGACGATGGACATTGGTTTCTAATTAGTTTCACTTTACTCAGTCGGTCGATTAGCTTTGAATGATAGCGTCAAGAGGATCAAATTTTGAAACGTAACACTATGATTGATTCCGATTAATTAATTTTAGGTGTAAATTTAGAGAGAGAGAGAGAGAGAGAAAAAAAGATTCGTTAATTAATAAGTAATATGGAATGAATTTTCTATCAAGTATTTCTAAGTAAAACAGATAAAATATTTAAATACTTCTGGGTCAAAAGTGATTGTTCGAACGTTTCTTTCTAGGACCCAAGGTTCAATAGTTCCATCGACATGAGAACGGGTTACAAGACAACGTTGATTCTATCTATGCCTATCTGCAATTACGAGGGAGACGTGATTGGAGTTGCTCAAATTATAAATAAAACTAATGGTAGCAATGAATTTACTGACAGAGACGTCGAGGTGTTCCAGAGGTCAGTAAACACACTCAATTATAGTATAACGTTTTCTATTATGAAGAAAGTAGATCAGAACAGACTTATGCGTGTAGCATAAACTATCAGGCAATAATTTAATATCGAACGAAGCAATATGGATATGAGACAAATGAAGAAAAAAATATAGATGAAAATTAATCTTGAAAATAAATTACCATATTAATATAAAAAATATTAATTCGATTATTACATTAAAAATATTATTATTATTTTAATATTAATATTAAAAGTATTAATTACTATATTAATAGAAAAAAAAACAAATAAGAACGACATAAATGTTTGTAATTTGATTATTATATTAAAAATATTATTATCATTATTTTAATATTAATATTAAAAGTATTAATTACTATATTAATAGAATAAAAGACGAATAAGAACGACATAAATGTTGTAATTTGATTACTATATTAAAAATATTATTATTACTATTTTAATATTAATATTAAAAGTATTAATTACTATATTAATACAAAAAATATTAATAGAAAAAAAAACGAATAAGAACGACATAAATGTTTGAAATTTGATTACTATATTAAAAATATTATTATCATTATTTTAACATTAATATCAAAAGTATTAATTACTATATTAATAGAAAAAAAGACGAATACGAACGACATAAATGTTTGTCGATTGATTACTATATTAAAAATATTATTATCATTATTTTAATATTAATATTAAAAGTATTAATTACTATATTAATATTAAAAGTATTAATTACTATATTAATACAAAAAATATTAATAGAAAAAAAAACTAATAAGAACGACATGAATGTTTGAAATTTGATTACTATATTAAAAATATTATTATCATTATTTTGATATTAATATCAAAAGTATTAATTACTATATTAATAGAATAAAAGACGAATAAGAACGACATAAATGTTTGTAATTTGATTACTATATTAAAAATATTATTATTACTATTTTAATATTAATATTAAAAGTATCAGTTACTATATCAATACAAAAAAATATTAATGGAAAAAAAAAACGAAATAAGAACGACATGAATAATGTTTAAATATGGCAACTATCTAGAGTACAGTATCCATCTAAAATAAATTGAAAATATAGCAAAATACATACTGTGCGACAACGTTAATTCCAGGTACCTGACGTTTTGCGGAATCGGGATACAAAATGCACAACTGTTCGAACTATCGGTGCAAGAGTATCGACGAAACCAGATCCTGTTGAATCTGGCGAGAAACATATTCGAGGAACAGAACAATCTCGAGTGTCTTGTCACGAAGATAATGACCGAAGCGAAGGAGCTTCTAAAATGCGAAAGATGCGCGGTGTATCTTCTAGATCTCGACTGCGGCGAGGCAGTAAGTTCATTCGAATAATCCACCTCGACGTACGCGATTGATGAAGCAAATCAAACAAATTTTTTCTTTTCTTTTTGATAAATCTGTAATGTCTCTCTTGCTCGATTGTTGAATAAAGCATAGAATAAATATTAAGCTGCGAGAGATGATTTCTCGATGTCCTTTCGAAAGGGTCGGCGAGGAACGTATAATAAGAGATCCTAAGTTTCGTTTCAGGGACACCTCGAAAAGATCGTCGAACGTCCGGGAAAGTCGACGCAAGAAACCCGGAAACCGCTGTCGAGGAGAGAGGTGAGTGACACCGGCAACGTGTTGCTCGAATTCGTAAGTTTGATCATCTTTTTCTTCTTTCCTGGCGGCTCAGAGTAACAACATCGAGATGGAGGATATATTCCAACAGCACGTGAGTAAAGATGCACACCATCTTGTCTCGAATTTCAGTGAAACTGAGAACCAGTTTTTGCAGTTTCTTCTTCTTTTTTTCTTTTCTTTCTATTGGCTTATCACGTTCAATTTTATTGAATTCTCTAACAAACGGAGATTAAGTTGGTTCAAATTAATTGCTCAATCTGAATGCAATGTTTCATTTGCAATTTCTTTTCGATTATTTCACACTACTGAATGATTTCCTTTATACGTTACAATCGTGAAAAAGGAATCCAACAATGTCTTCCTTGAAATTTATTCACTTTTCAAATTTCGAGTAATTCCTGCATCGTTTTCAAATCATGAAGATTCCTTTTATATCTCCGAATTCAAGTGTCTGTTACTTCAATACATTTTTTTTTTTATATCTTATATTTAAGTTTCTGAACATTTTAATCACGAAAAGAAATTATTTTCCATTTGCTTTTTCCATATAAATCCTACAGACTTGTATTTTAATTTATTCTCTGTGAAAGTATCTATTTTTCTTATACATCCTTTATAC